TAATGACCATCAATTTTTTATAATAAAATATTAGTATCATGGATATTCAGAAAATGTGACTAGCAAAGGTCTTCAGGCCCATGGAACTTCAAAGTCACATCTTGAAAATGCCAAAATGTAAACAAGACAGCACTTTTCTGAAATGGGTTTATTTCCATTTTTAACACTTTTTTAACATAAAACAAAATTAACAGTTTACTGTCATTTTTATATGACCAACTAAGAAAATTGATGAGATGGGAAAAATATCAATAGAACAGTATTAAATGTCCAATTTCCTCCATTCTGAGATTCTGAACATAGTGGATGATTGAATCTGACAAACTGCAATGATATGCGTTTATTTCTATTTTTGACACTTCATTACACAATACACGATAACAAGTTTACCATCATTTTTCCATAATCAGCTAACAATGTTGTAAAGATGCAGGAAATGTCAAAAAAACACTTTCACATATTGTATTAGTTCAATAATGGGACTGTTAACATGCCTAAGAACTGAATCAGAAAATGTGAAAAAAAAGCATAACTTCCCTAAAAATGACCCAATCAAGCTGATTTTCAAACTTGACCTGCGTATTATAAATATTTNAATGTCCAATTTCCTCCATTCTGAGATTCTGAACATAGTGGATGATTGAATCTGACAAACTGCAATGATATGCGTTTATTTCTATTTTTGACACTTCATTACACAATACACGATAACAAGTTTACCATCATTTTTCCATAATCAGCTAACAATGTTGTAAAGATGCAGGAAATGTCAAAAAAACACTTTCACATATTGTATTAGTTCAATAATGGGACTGTTAACATGCCTAAGAACTGAATCAGAAAATGTGAAAAAAAAGCATAACTTCCCTAAAAATGACCCAATCAAGCTGATTTTCAAACTTGACCTGCGTATTATAAATATTTATCAGTTCTGTAAGTTTCAAACCAAGAGGTAAAAACGTTTTCCACTTATCATGTTTACGGTGTTGCATATATGCTGAAAAAAGTGAAAAAAACAGCATAACTTCCCTAAAAATGGCCCGATCACGCTGATTTTCAAACTTGACCTGCGTATTATACATATTTATCAGTTCTGTAAGTTTCAAGCCAAAACGTAAAACTGTTTTCCGCTTATCGTGTTTACGGTAAAAGTGCACGCCAACGGCAACATCAACGACGTCGACAGACGCAGGTGACTACATCTGTGCCTGTACATAATAAAAACAGCTTAACTTCTACAGTAATGGCCTGATCATGCTGATTTTTTAACTTGACCTGCGTTTTATGAATATTCATCAGCTCTGTAAATATAAAGCCAAAAAGTAAAACTGCCCTCCACTTATCGTGTTTACAAGGAAAGTGCACGGCGACGGTGACGGCGACGACGGCGATGACAGACGCAGGTGATGGCAATATGTACAGACACATCTGTGTCTGTACATAATTAATAACTAGGCAAGTGACTTTAAAGACCTTAATTTAATTAGTGATTAACCAATGGACAATTTCATACTGACCGCCATCCATACAGTGCCATCATATCGCACTCTACAGAACTGCATTGCTTACAGAACAGAAAACAATCACACTGATTTTCCAACACATGCTGCACTTTTCAGTTAGTACCATAAGTAACATGGTTTTCCCTTGATGGTCATCAGTGTCCAAAATAGTTTTTTAATTCTTAACAGTATGATGACCATCATTTTTTAATAATAAAATAAAAGTGTCATGGATATTCAGAAATGTGACATGAAAAGGTCTTCGAGGCCATGGAAGTTAAGAGTCACACCTTCAAAATGTAAACAAGAGAGAACTGTACTGAAATAATTTTCTTCCCATTTTCAGCACTTTTTTTTTACATAAAACATAATAATCAATTTACTGTCATTTTTAAATGATCAACTAAAAAATTGTTGACAGAAAAATATCAATGGAAAAATTTTAAATGTCCAATTTGCTCCATTCTGAGATTCTGAACATAATGAATGATTTTTTTCCCATTTTTGACACTTTATTACACAATACACAATAACAAGTTTAACATCATTTTTAAATAATCAACTAACAATATTGTTAAGATGCAGAAAATGTCAAAAGAACGACTTTACATATCTAATTAGTTCAAAAATGACTGTTAACATGCCTGAGAATTAAATTTGAGGAAAAAACACTTATATACAAAAAAAAAAAAAAAAAAGGCATCACCAAAACTTAACTGATCAAGCTTATTTTCAAAACTGAATCTGTATTTCAGTAACATTGATCACTCCTGTGAATTTCAAGACAATTGGCCAATCAATTTTCCCTAAAATGTGTTATAGGTGTTGCATATATGCTGAAAAAAGTGAAAAAAAAAAACGGCATAACTTCTGTAAAATTGGCCTGATCATGCTGATTTTCAAACTTGACCTGCGTATTAAAAATATTCATCAGTTCTGGAAGTTTCAAGCCAAAAAGTAAAGCGGTTTTTCACTTATCGTGTTATCAATGTTGCATATATGTTGAAAAAAAAAATGAAAAAGCAGCATAACTTCCCTAAAAATGGCCTGATCATGCTGATTTTCGAACTTGACCTGCGTATTATGAATATTTATCAGTTCTGTAAGTTTCAAGCCAAAAGGTAAAATATTTTTTTCACTTATCGTGTTTACGGTGTTGCATACATGCGGAAAAAAGTGAAAAAAAGCATAACTTTCCTAAAAATGGCCCGATCATGCTGATTTTGGAACTTGACCTGCGTATTATGAATATTCATCAGTTCTGTAAGTTTCAAGCAAAAACGTAAAATGGTTTTCCACTTATCGTGTTTACGGTAAAAGTGCATGCCAACGGCAATGGCGGCGACAGACGCAGGTGACGGCTATATGTACAGACACATCTGTGTCTGTACATAAAAAGTGAGTGGCAAAGGTGGTCAGGCCCATTGAACTTCAAAGTCACCTTAAAAATATAAAAAATGTAAATTAGACAGAACTGTACTGAAATGGGTTTATTTCCATTTTTACACTTTTTTTACATAAAACAATTAATTTACTGTACTTTTGTTGAGATATAGAAAATATCAATAGAGATTCTGAACATAGTAAATGATTAAATCTGACAAACTGCAATGATTTGCTTTTTTTCCATTTTTGAGACTAATCGCCTAATCTTTTAATAGTCTCTCCGCCTCTCACTCACCTCCCCATGTGTCGTCCCAATGGAGCAGAGATTTAATGACTGTTTCCCGCAGGGACGACGCATGAGGAAACGTGTGAGGGGTGGAAAGACTATTAAAAGATAAGCGGTTTTCCTTTCATGTACATCCGCCATATTTAGGACGTGGCTTTGTAGAGCCATGGCTCAACTCGATGTGAATGCAGCCTATGAATTGAATCTGAGGTAAAAGCACTTATAAACAAAACAAGGCATAATTGCATCAAAACTGAACCAATCGAGTTTATTTTCGAACTTGACCTGTATTTTAGTAAGATTAAGCACTCCTGTGAGTTTCATGACAACAGGCGTATCGGTTTGCCTTGAAATGTGTTTACAGTGTTGAATATATGCTGAAAAATGAAAAAACAGCATAACTGCTAAAATAATGGCCCAATCATGCCAATTTTCGAAATTCACCCACCTTTAATGAATATTCATCAGCTCTGTAAATATAAAGCCAAAAGGTAAAACTGTCTTCCACTTATCGTGTTTACGCTAAAAGTGCACGGTGCCAGTGACGACGACAGATGCAGGTAACGGCAATATGGTGTCCTGTGATTGTGCCTTGAGTGGATTGTTAAACTTGCTGATATATTGACATGCAAATTTTTGAAAACAAAATTTTGAATATTGAGGACGTATTGAAACTTGGGCAATAAAGCCTAGTCTCATCTGGTTAGAGGAGCAGGTTTAGATATAAGGTACTGAATTTCTGCCCCTGATCTGAAGGTAGCTCAGTGCTTTTATTTACTTTTTTTTTTGCAAAAAGTCATTTTTAGTTCTGAATTGTAGCCTGCACAATATCAATAACAAGAATGTCTATTCTAATCACAAATATTTAAAGGTAGAATACAGAAAAATGTCTTATGTTTGCGCATGATCCGTTGGTGGAAAGAAACTGATAAATTTCCATTTTGGACAGGCGACCCCATGAAAATCGGGTAGATTTTAAAGAATGATATACCTATAAATATCCCTAAGACAATAAAGCAACTCAAATACCAGTATCAAGTAGCTTTGCCAAAAATAATACAATTTATTTGCATTTGAACTGTCTTCGGCATTGACAGGAATACAATGCACTGGATAAATAGATTACCATCTACCAAGAAACAATATGTCATACCTTTCACTAGTAATATCAAGCACTGACCCATTTTTATCTGTTAATTATATCGACTAATGATCAAGGTTCTTCTAACTAATGGTCAAGTTTCTTCTTAAAATATACTTTGGCCATGTGATGGCCACTTGATGGGCAACTAAAATGTGAAAATGTTACAAGAATGCACCTTCATTATTGTGCACCACTTCTAGGATAACACAGTTTTTTATATCAAAATAAACCCGATGCTGACCTGTGTAAATAACATTTAAATCCATATTTTCTATGTGGAATGGATGGGCAAATATATGATATCTCGATGTCTGAAGTGACTTAAGCAAAAGGAGATTCTTTAAACAAATTATATCATAATTCAAATGAAATCAATTTTGTATATCTAGGTAGCTTGAATATGATGAACAAGTTTATTAAGTTAATAATTATCATTGCAGCCCATCCTTTTTAAAACATTACATAAAGTTTGACGCAGTTCCCTTTGAATAAACTATTAAAATTACAGCTGCTATGTTATGAATGATTAATGTTACCATTAATATGTACAATAAGTAACTGATACTGATCTGTTGTTGACAAATGATCTGTCCAATGTTGTCTCAAAACTATGTGAGACATAAAGATTTCATTACAATATATTACAGAATAATGCAAGCTTGTGGCAATTCAAATTTTGTTGTAAAGAAAAACAATGTTCAAGCTTGCAATATAATCTCCAACTTTTCTTTTTTAAATCAAAATATGTTTTACAAAGAATTTTATGCTGGCCCACATGGGTCAGAAGCAAACAAAACTTGCTCACCACTACAAGTGAAAACATGCTTTGATCCTCTATTTCGAGATTAATTTTGCCTTCGGTTCTATGAAAGTATTATCAACTTCTTCATTCTTATGTATGACTTTCAACCATTTCATCAAGAAAATGTTACTGGTTCCATACACAAACATTTCAGACTCTTCCTTTTATCACCCTGCTTTCTCATCATACTTGTACCAATGAGAAAAAAATTCTTGTCTGAGCAACAATTTAATCTATAAAATTTCTCATTTTTTTTTAAATGCTGAGGATCAGCCATTTATTCCTCATCGGAATCCTCTTCAGAGGAAGCCTCAGAGTCGGTGACATCCTCATCTTCATCATCCTTGTTCTCATCTTCCTCATCAGAAATATCCCACTGAGGATGATTCTCAATCTTCTTGGCCTCCTTTACATCAAGCTAGAATAGATTGTAAAAAAACATAATCCTTGTGTCTTTATGGGATTTATCAGTCACTCCTAATAAGAATAAACACAAAGATAACTTTAGACTCAAATCAAATGTCTCTATGTCTAAATGTTGAACCTGGTCCTGTGGTTCATACAAATATCAAACAGCAGATTTACTGCCCATTTATACAAAAGTATAGGAAAAAACCCCTAAAATAATGATTAAGTAAAATATATCAACCTTAATGTTCTGGGTAATGTCAAAGTCCATGTAGGAGTCTGATCTCAAGTTCACTGAGAACTGATAAATGCCAGGCTTGTCCGGAGCTTTGAAGGTGATTTGGAGCTAGGAGGAAATAAAGAATAAGTGAAAATGGTAAATTGCAAAATATAAAGCTGTAAGTTAGGCAGCAATCTTTTGCAGGATATGGTAAAATGGTCAGCTTTACAGCTAAACATGCAACTCCTGTAAATTCAGATCTTTTTGTTTCTTAAATTTATATAATACTCATAAATCATGGCCATAACAAACTACTTTCTTTCAAATGTGAACAGTGCAAATTCAGAGGGTTGGTTCAGAGAGAGTTCACAATCTACCTCTTCTGTATCTCTTAGACTTGTCACCAGGACAGGAGCTGTGATCAGCTGGTGGTTCTTCCTGTCTGCCACATACAGCCACCAGTACTCTTGTTTGTCCTGGAAAGAATAGAAATACATACCATACATCTTAAAAAATTTTGAGAACATGCTTATCGATCTAAATTAAATAAACAAAACCTATTTTTAAGTAATTTTGGCATAATGAAAAGAGAAACCAAGAAAGGTAAAGGGGTAAGGTGTGAAAAGAAAAACTGTAAAGACTAATAAATACAGCATGTGATAAATTTTTAAAAATGCAACATCAACATACAATGTGGCAAAATATGTTTACCATTACATCATACTCCTTACCAATGGGAAATATGGACAATGAACAGAATGCGAGATTTTTGATTTGGTTTCCAGGGAGTTTTCCTTCTTGGCTTGTTTCTGGAACTTCTTCATCCATTCTGGGTCCTCATCATCGTCCTCTCCTCCCTCTTTGTGACTGTCCTCATTCTCATCTTTTTCATTTTCTCCTCCGCTGACATCACTATCACTTTCATTTTCACTCTCTGACCCATCCTCTCTATCGCTGTTCTTCTCCTTCTTGGGTTTCTTGGGTACATCTTCAACACCCTAGTTAACAAGTAATAACGTATGAGAGCATGTTGCATATTCACTCTTACCCCACCTTAGAAAGATTAAATAGTCACACTTACAAACAAGTTATAATATTGAATTAGGAAAGAAAGAAAGAACAAAAAGCAACTGCATCCAATGCAGCAAAATGCTACTTAAAACATAAATCCCAGAATTATTGGCTTGAGACTTTGGTCTGCCTGTACACATGGCATACAAGTTGAACAAAGTCTACTCACTTCACTAGATACACCTGTGTTTTGATCCCCTTGTCCTGGAGCATTTCCATTGGTAGCAACTGGTCTTTTGTATGGTTGTTTAGGAGCTTTCTTCTTGTTTTTACCCCCACCTTTACCCTTCTTCTTTTTCTGTTGCTTTTCCCAAGGTTTAGTCTTCCTTTTTGGTGAATCTGTCACCTAGTATATCAATAAAAACAAAACTCACCACTTTGCAAATGCTTTTCACATGCAACAAAAAACTTTTTCTTAAATCAAATTCAAAATAACTTTGAAAGCTTAATTAAAGAAAATATGAAATTTCAGCAGGACTGACCTCATTTGCTTCTTTGTTTTCTTCATCTTCTTGATCCTCTTCTTCCTCATTATCATTTTCTTGACCTTCTTCTTTTTCCTCCCCGTCCTCTTCCTCTTCACCCCCATCAATATTGAACATTTCCTCTATGTTCTTTCTTACAAGAGTTACAGTAGCTGTTACTATAGACCCTGCTGTGATGGAGGAGTCTTCTTCATCAATAACTTCAGATTTAATTGTTAAGTCAATATGTGGCATTTGGGCGCAGACGTTCATAACATCTCTGTATTCACTGTCTGACAAAGTGCGCAGAAGTAAGCGCCTGTCTTCTTCATTCATGCTTGCAAACTGTTTTATAGATCTAATGTTTCTCTGAAATGAAAATACATCTTGTTTTGATTTTTTTGTTCATGAATTTATTGTTACGATTTTAATTGTAGCCCAAATCCTACACTTATTTTAGACTTAATTAAATATGCAATATGCAAAGGACCAGAACCACAAAATCACAGTATGAACTTGACTTTATCTTGAACCTTAGCTATACACCAAAACAAAAAATAAATATCATTATATTTTTAGTGTTCTGTCACAATGTGTAAGACAGGTGTAATTTAGTAACCATGAGCCCTTATACTCACCTTACGTGTGACAAAATGTTTTAGCATATCTTCACTAATATGTGGCAGCTGCAGGAGAGGACTCTTCGTCTCCCACAGAGCCTGGACTAGCATCTGGCTGACCTTCATCACATTCTCCACTGTCTCCAGCCTGGGTAGGTGTTGAGCTAGAAATGAAAATAAAATGTTACCAAAATCAAATGTGGACACTTTCTAAGATATCATGTAATGCCACACAATTATGATTTGTGCAAGCATTACAAACACTGGTTGTTATCAACATTTTTATGTTCTATATAGCGGTGTTGAAATTACTGGCACAAAGCACTTTCCTGTATTGATTTAAAAGTACTCCAGTGATTGACATGCATTAAAATTCCTAAATGTGTCACTTTAAAACACTTCAACAACACTATTTTTTGACAGACATGAAAATCTCTAATGTGACAGCAGCTACTCCAATAACATCCGTCAACCATCGATGGTTTAAACCATGAATGCCACAGCTCCAATACCTGGCCTTCTACATCTTAAAACATGAATGGCATATAAGTTATTTATTGAGGTAATGTTCAATCTCTTACCTCTCCCTGCATAAGCCAGGGCTACCAGCTGGGCTACTGTGTTCACCATTTCATTAACTAAATATGGGCACTTCTTCAATATATAATTTTTATCTGAAAAAACACAGACATCAGTATTTTATTGTATGAAGCATCAAAAGTGAAATTAAATTCAAATTCAAAAACATCTCCCAACATTTATTTCCATGATAAAATACAGAAATTCAGTCCATTGCACTACATTTAAATGCAAAGGAATTTACTTAAGATAAGTTGATTCACAATATTCTTATCACCTTACCTAATTCCAAGGTGTTACGTGGAAGTTCCAATCTGGAAAAATGTGCATGCAGTAATATCCTGGCTTTGACACTGTACGGGAAACACAGTGGCTTCTCCTTGTTCTTTTCTTGGAGGTTAGGGAGATACTTCATAAGCTACAGAGAAAAAAAAATAAAAGAGAATCACAACAAGACACTATGACATAAAAAATACAACATTTAATTACTTGGAATTCAAAACTGATACAAATGATCATTCACTTGACAACCTGGATGTCTGTTACATTACTTACAGGAGGCAGCTCTTCATTGTCACTGGGTCTTTCCACTATCTCATTGTTGTGACTTTTTTCAAACTCAAAGGAACCAGCTAATATCATAATTACCCCTGAAAAGGAAAGCAACAATCATTTATAAAATATATATTAAGAGGAATCACCAAAGAACTATTGCAAACTGTAATTGTGTGGGGCAATCAGTCTAATTATGAACTGGGAATGTATTCAAATTAAGGAATGCAATTCATTTGTAAACAAACATTGGCAAATCCAATGGCATATAAAAAAACTTGGACTTGGGCGAGGGTGTAAGCTGATAAGAATGAAGGCAGGTACATGGATTTTAAAACTGATCCTATAAGATAAATTTCTAAAGTTTTAAACATTTAGAAATAGTAAAATTCTGCTGACAAAGCATTTCAACACAAAAATCATTAAATTTTTTTATTATATAAAAATGCAACTAAAAACTCACTCCTAATGATCATGTTTGGAGTCTTGTGGAAGAAGAACAAGTAAAGTTGTGTCGTATCCAGCAGAATCTGGTCTGCACTGAACTTGATAGATTTGTACCACCATGTGCCCTGGAAGAAACCACAACATACACATGACTGTACTGGTGACAAAAGTTTCCCTATAGAAGGGGTAGAAAGATGAGGAAATATCTACAGTGAAAGGAAATGGACAGTGGGAGATCTTACCGGACACTTTAAGTAATTAAATTTAGTTAAGAAAATAAATGAGGAAGTCTTCTTAAAATGTTAATTTGTTTTCTTGTCTCATCTGAAAATGTTACACTATACACCACTTACCACAACTATAGGTAGGATTATAATAAATGCCAATCCATAAAGGGCCAAAACCTGAAAATTACAATAAATTATTGCAATTAATCTAAACAATAATAGTCTATTAATGTAAAAATAATGGAATAAATCCAGCCATTACTTAGATTTAATAGAAATTCTTATCATATCTGCGCACAATGTAATCCACCCTCCTCCACTTTTTGAAATTTGCAAAGTGATCAATGCTTACCCATATGGAATTCTCTTTCTCTACAATCCACTTCGGTAAAGCTATACCAAACTGAGTGGCTGAAATTTGAATCAATTTCTTTTATAAATTGCATCTTTGAATTCTACATGCGTACACTTGTGTAATAAGAAGAATGGATTAATACTAATGTATATAAAATGTACAAAGTTTGTAAATACTACAAAAAAATTAATGCAACATTTGCAACATGTTCATTGTCATTACTATCTTTTTTGTGAGTTTAAAGTCCTTTACTTTAGAAAATAATGTGCACTGTAATTCAAACAAGTCTTACAAATTTATGTAATAGTGCTCATTGATATTCAATGACTCCACTTAAAAACCAACTGTGCCTACCTCCAGGTCCATCAGGATTGCCATGCAACATCCAATTGTTTCTGGATTCTTCATCTGTTAGACTGTTTCAAAAAAAATTGCAAATAAGGAAACAAATTATTACTCCATCCACATCCTCTTAAGTTGCCTTTTTGGTTAGGACAAAGGATTTAGTGTTCAAAATAAGTAGGTTTTTTATATCGATGAATAATTCACACAAACAAACTCTTAAAGGCAAAGTACCATGAAAATGTAATTTGGACAAAATGCAAATTTTCCCTTACGCTGCATAAGCTTTTGCAATCCTCATGAATTTGTGAGGGTCCCCTCCTTCCTTGTCAGGATGATACTTTAAACTAAGTTTACGGTATGCTTTTTTAATTTCACCTTGACTAGCTTCCTAAAATACAAAACAAAACTTTGTTTATGAAATGAACTTGTGATTCAGTCTGAATATATGAGCTCAAAGGTGTGAATGATAGAGGGATGCAGAAAGACTCACAATGCAAAATTGTTACAAACTCTTATACTGAATTATCTTTTGCAAGTTCAAAACTTACCCTGTCAATTTCTAACTCAACAAATGGATCATACTCAACATGATCCAATTCAAGAGTTGAAACTTTGTATGCTAGAAAAATCAGTATCACCCATCCAATAATCAGCACCACTTGGCTAAAACAAATAAGAATTGAAACATAAAGAGATGAAAACTTATTGTAATAGGTTTAAACATTACTACAGCCACTAGGAACATAAATCATCATGATACGATTGGATTTTGAGGTAAATATATATAGATTGGATTTTGATGTAAAATATATTAAACTTCAGCCAACCATATAAAACATCTAGACAAATAGGATAAAATTGACTTTCAAAATTACACATAACAATCCTTAAAAGTTGAATACTCACGTGGCTCTTTTTTTCAAGTTGCTATAGGAATCTTTGCTGTTTACATGGGTCCTTTTTAACAAACACGGCTCACAATAACATTGCCTTTTGGATTTTTCATCATCTAAATAAAAGTGCAAATTATTGAAAATTATAAGTGTGCATAACTGCTTTATGATGAATTTAAACAGTACAATTTAAAACAACTGTCAAAAATCATTAAATCCTTCACAAAAAAATCATTAACTTAATACATTTACTCCAAAGGTGAATGAATACAGATATTTCCAAATGGGTATCATTCGAAATCGTCCAGGAGTCTCATTAATCTAAACAGTATTTGTCACCGAGTAGAACACAGAAAAGCTGGTGATTATACGAATACAAGTGGAAACAAAAAAGTGTCCCTGCGAAGTTGGATCGATCTATGAAGATTGATAGTTTCATTGGGAATGAGCCCTAAGATGACATTGTCAGTACATACATTTTAACCCCTGCTTTAGGCAGACTCTCACACTAGTCTTGTATGACCTCACTAACTGCCATCATCATATTATCTATCTCAGTTGATGTCCATTTCATATAGTGATAATTTATTCAAAGATTCTAATAGATAATAACAGGAACACGAATATGTTACACTGTTCATTACTAAAGATAAGCTCAGGTGATTAAAAATAACATACTATCCTTGGTGACATAGTAGGACATTTTAGATGATATTTGACATAATAAAGTATAACAGAAGATCCTCCATTAATAATCAGACTCAATGGCATATTCCCTCCCTATCACGGTGGATGTGTAAACTGGTCATCAATTTACACTTTTTGAGGTATACTTAACAAAAATTGTCAAGAGAAGCGCTAACACATTAATTTTGTGCCATACAAAAATACAGAGGTGGAAAAAAAGCTTTAATGATAATATACAACCCAGGGATGACACTTCCATATAGTGAAGTCAGAAAGTACAGTGTGGAGTCAAGGGGGCTGCTTGATATATATTTAGCTCCCAAAAAGTCAGAAATCTGCCAATAATCAGAAAAACCTTATCCCTGACAGCATCCTCATGCCAAACTACTGCAACAAAAGGATTGGTGCTGTACATTCCAGTGTCTTCTTCTGAACTTTCTGGTAGTTTCGATTTGTGACATTGGTGCAAAGGTCTATGTAACATGTTATAACTTTGTATTAATAAATTTTAATGTCAAAACGTTCACGATCAAAAATGAAGGGGAATTGATATGCCTTCGAGTCCGATTGTTAACGAGTATTTTTGTTGATCTAAATATGTGAAGATACAACTGTTTAAAACTTCACAAAATATTAAAGGCCACAAGTAAAGCGTTACTTCTACCAGTAACACTTACAGATAGTACACATATGGACAAGCAAAGCACGCTGACTGCTTACCCTTCAATACTTTACTAATTATACATCTGTCAAAATTACTATTGTCTGAACGTTACCTTTCTTTGTCTTTCTAGGCCATAAATAATAGGTGGCTGGTATCACAATCAAAGCGCAGAATGAAAGGAGGAAATAATAAAAAGTTCCTCCTTTCTCGTCGTACTCAAACTTCATGCCAGCCATTTTGCTAAAAACAACGTCAGCATTGAAAGCTCTCGCGAGATCAATATCAATGTGGTGCGAAAGCAGGATGGTTAGATGCCTTTGTGAAGTTATTTTTTAAATATTGGGATATTTGGATAATTTTATTCAAGATTACAGTAATAATATACCCTTGTTATGAAAGTCTGTGCTCTGAATAAGTATAGATTCAATTTACAAAATATGTATAGTGATAAATCTATCCATTTTCATTTCGAAGCTCAAATATGGCAGCCTCCATAGGGAGCCTGTGCAAAACATTTGCGGGAGTATTTGAATCAACTTACACACACAAGTTCATGTTGTTTTAACTTATATAGATCTCAGCATTTGGTCTGATACTACTACCGTCTGTATAGTTGGCCTTATTTTGTTAAAAAAGCATCGTTTTCTAGTTCGGCATATCTTTTTATCGTTTTTACCAGGGAGATTCTTAGGAGCAACTTCAAATGACCTTCACCTCCCATTATTTTCACTGCTGTTATGTAAACTAAGAAGTTTATGAGATAAATGCTAGCACCAAATGTACACACTCTAACCTTAATAAGAGCAACGGTAGTGCAAGTCTTAGCAACTAGGAAGATTTCGGTGTCTTGTATCAAAGGTGAGTTGTACTACTTTGAAATTTTGTGGAACATTGTAAACGATACACGTACCAACTGTAGCAGTAGGCCCAGTAGATACACTCGTGTAGACTGTGATAATATTTATAAATAATATGTAAGTAAAAGTCCAGATCAGTTTAATTATATGAAACCTACCCAAATGTGACCCACTGAAGAAGTTTGTGGAGGAATATTTATTTCAAAGGCTTCGCTTAGTTGGGTACCAATGCTTGCATTCAATTTTAAAACTAAGCAGATTTTTACCTACTCATTTCAAATTGATTTTACTTTGTGAAATTCATTGCTATTTTTATAATGTTTGCAGAATTTAAATACAGTTCCCCTTTCGTCACTCAGATCTGCAATATGCCACAAAAGAGGAAACTCTCAGAAAAGCCCAGAGCTCCACCAAGCAGTGAGACAAAGGCAAAGAAACAGAAAATCTCAGATACCACCAGTGTGAGCAAGGGTGCAAGTAGGAGCACAGGAATAACTAAGAACAAAGGACCTTATCCAAAAGAAGTAGACCCTAAAACCAACCAGGAGGTAAGTTCATTTATCTCTTTGTTATACTAGTATATACTGGTACTCTTTTACTATAAACTTGAACTCCTTCTCTTTCTTGCGTTTTGTCACATTTCAATAAAGAACATTTACAAAAATCAATGGAAGTATATTAAGCTGTTGAAATGACATAATATGTATTTCACTCTGTTGTGAGACTTTAAAGAAACAGGAATGAAGTTTTTATTTTCATTTATCTAGACTGTTGGAGAAATAAGCTTCACAGCCCCATTGCCTACAAGAAACAAAAAAGATGTGCTTGTGTTTGAAGATTGGCCTGAATTTCAACCAAACATGACACCAAAAGAAGTTCTTCAAGCTGGGAGCTTTGGAGGGACATATTTCAGACCTATCAAGTCATCTGTAACAGGTGAGTATAGTGATTAAAGACAGAAAAGCAATAATTGTATAATTGTCAAAGGTACATGTAGCTACAAAGTATAACACAGTAACAAGTGTCTTCAAAAGTCTAGCTGAAGTATTGATGATTATTGAGGAGTTTTGTTAATTATTTACTTTTGCTTAAAATATTTATATTTCACAAATTTGGTTGAAAGGTTGTTATTTGTCTAACACCAAAAAAATTGCTACCATAACCCTAAGCTGTAAATAGAATCATTTCATTTCACAGTTAACATGGCTATAAATTGAGTTTATTTAAATGTAGGTAAGAGTTACTCAGGAGTTTGGAAAGAACTTCCATCAGACTGGCTTGCAGGACTCAATATCGGAAAGCAGGTAGGTGTAGTTTTGTCTGTGTCTAGAACAGTGCCATTGCTGTTTTTTGAGTAAGTTTACCATCATGCAACATTATCAGTATTCTTTAATAAGTGCCCAGATAGATATAGCATCTTTTCAGTTATTTCATCTTTATATTGTCCCACAAAATGCCTATGCTTACTTAATGCCTATGACAATTAATTTTTTTTTGTTTAACTAAATGATTTGCAGGTGTCTTCTCCAACTTACAGTGAGAAAGTGAACACCTATAAAGTGAAATGTGGTGGAAGTCTTGAGATGTGGGAGAGTAGTGGATGGATGCATAAACAAGATCCATATGGTTGGTTCCAATGGTACTGCAGGTAAAATGTCTTGTTGTCAGTGTGATCATGATCACAATGTGATTTACAATAAAATGTTTGGAGAAATGATTTAATAAATGTGTCACACCCATCAGTAACAAAAAGAAATGATGTAAATATGTACTCTTATTTTCAATATCTATTATCAATGCAAATAATTGACAGTCAGAATAGTCAAAACTTGTTTAGTGTTTAACAGTGTTTGCACAACAATTTTAGGTTTTACCAAGGGAGGCGGACTGCAGATGATGCCCGGCAGATTGGACGCTGGTTAAGGTGTGCTGGTCAGACTGGACGATGGAAGGGGAACCTTATATCCAAATGTGTTAACACTGGTTGTAGCTATGATAATTTTGCTGTGTCACCAGTAGTGAGGCAGACCTTACAGCATTGGGGATACAGACTGACCAAAGATGACTTTGAGGCGGGAGCCAAGAAATTCAGAAAGAAAAAAAATGCATGAATTAAGGTGCTACAAAATTTGTGAAAGAAATTGCATAAATGAATAAAAAAGCACAAAACAGATTTTAATATAGTAATAACACTGAAAGTGCATGATAACGACGACAGACACAGGCAACAGCTATATGTACAGACACATCTGTCTGCACATGAAAAGGGAAAAAGATGTGTCATGTCATAAATTTTGGTATTCAAGATCTTATATTTGCCAAGGATAGCAGTTGGTCAGGGCCACTTGATGTTGTTTGTCTTTAGTGAACAAGTAGTAGAAAATCCTGCAAGTTCAATCTGTCATTACATTTTGAATGGCCTAGTTTGATAGTTAAATCGGTCTAGATCTAAAATGTGATGTCTCCAATTATAAAATGCACTCAGGTAGTAAATATGTTTACATTCTTCATTGGGCATGTATGGTTAATGGCATTTGGCTGGAGATACTTGAGATATTGTAGAAGTGGTAGATTTGCCTTTTTTAAGGACAGACACTATTAGTCTGATTATTTATCTTTTACATTTTTCCCATTTTATTTTTCATGGCATTTAACTCCTATAAGACATTTTTGATAGAAAGTAAAGAATATAAACAAAAAACCTTGTCTTTCATTTATTGCAATTGTCATTTATGACACTTTTTTTACAGAGAATGATTTCTTATTTAAAAAGAAATCTTGCTTAATATTAAATGTGGTTAAAGTAACTTAACACAAGACAAACGCTGTTTTGATAAAGCCAATGGCACTTTTGCATATTCACATGTAGTCTTTTGTGAATCGTTTCCTCTTGAAGACCTAAGTTCAAACTCAAAATCTGCTTGGCAATATTAGGCCTTGACTGCACAACAGAAAACATAATAGGGTTAATTGCAGGTGTGTTTTTAGTACACAATGTTAACTACAGTTATAAGTAATATTATATTCCTTAAGCAAAGACATACCAAATTACGATATATTTTTAACACTTTCACTTTTACAGCACAGGTATAGACTGCCAGATTGGTCTAATTGTCACACTTTCAATGAAACATTAAGTTTTGCTGTAAATCTACAATGTTAGCTCCAAATCCAGTTTTATTTTGCTATCAAAATTCTACACTGTAAAGCTATCTGCTTGTCAGATGCCTGCACACATGGTCGTTACATGTGTTAGCAGTGCTAGAGAGCAAAAGCCGAATAATTTTCAACAGTATATTTACATTATATCAGTCAAAAAAATTAATAGCAATTCTTCAACAAAGGGCAGAAAAGTAGAGCTTTTAAGACAAAAGGCTGTGGGAGCTCCTGAAAATTTTCCAATAAACTCCCTGTTCAATGCTTCAGAATTGCCATTTGTCTAAGCTAGTCAATAATTTACAGATATTTTTTCACTAACTACAGTTTAAATTCTCCTTGGTAACATGTCAGTAAACAACATTTTACAAAGATGCTATTATGGTACTTTAAATAAACACTCTTAATATGACCTTTGCTGATATTTACATCACAACACCTACAACATTCACTTTCTTTTCTTCAACTCTTCAAATCTTTTTGTCAAATCATCAAAGTCTACATCTTCATTGACAGAGGCTCCCCCTGCAGGTGGTAAGCTGTCTGGGACTGCAGGCAGGTCTGGGAGGTCAGGCATGCCTCCTATATGGGGCCCACCAGGCTGGTTGCCAGGAGGAGCTGAAGCAGGCTTTTGACCATCATAAAGAGAATTATATGAAGGTAGCGGTGGCTTGACCTCGTGTGGGTCTGGGTAAGTGAAAGGTGGTGCATGTCCTCCTTGTTGTGGTGGATAAAGATTCCCGGCTGCTGGCACTGCAGGCAAAGGTGGTGGATAGGCACCAGCTACTGGACCCTAGGAATTATAAATAAATTTAAATGTCCAGATGAATTCTTTCACACCTTTTATTTAATAAGAACCATTTCTATTAGTCATGTGTGAAAAAAAATATCAATATGCAGTATTTGTAAATAACAGGAATTTTTGCCAAGTGACAAAGAAGTGAAAATTAACATCTGCCAAAATTGTCTTTATCTTTAAACTTGCTTAAGAAGTCCACTCAATAAAGAATATCATCAAATAACTTTAAACAACTGTAACTGTAAAATAAATGGATTAAAGATAATCAATGTTTACATCATACCCCGGGTGGATAAGCAGCATCCATTGGCTTGACTTCAGGCATAACTGGGAACCCACCCCCTCCACCACCACTTCCTCCTCCAGAGGATGGCCCTGAGAAACCTCCATCTGATGGTCCACCACCAGGCTTGTTATTGTCAAAATTGATCAGTGTACTTTCTGCAGCATAAATTTCATCATCTCTCATCACAGTGGGATCTGGTTCAAACGGCACATTATATGTCCTAGCAATTTCAATCATGTACTTCTCAATGAGAAGCTTTGGTGGTGCATGTACACTCAGTTTGTGAATGAGTTTATCATTGACAAGGTTAAGGGAATTGGTGCGCGAAGCCTCAGCAAATTCTTTGCCATACTTGTGTGTGAGCTGTTCTGAGACTGCTTTGAGTTCAGCACAGTCTGCCTGGAGTCTTGGGGTGGCCCATATAATGCTGGCAATAGGCTCTTCTAAACCTGGGTCTAGTTCCCTAAAAAGACAACATAAAACATATCAGTGTAACAATATATTTCAGGGCAATTGTGAACTGATGGGATTACAACAAATTTCACCCCTGCTATGATCCATAATATTTGAATGGGCTCGAAGTTTTTTTTTATAAAAACATTTAAATTTGTAAGTGAATGGCCAAAGCAAGTTATTTGGATATAAGAAACATAACTTAATTAAGAAAACTATGAAAAGACCTGGGAGACTGCAAAAGACCCCAAATGATCACAGAGCTGTTAATCAGTGAAGGCAAAAAGTAAAAAAAAGTTCTGTCAGTGATGCTATCTAGTTTACTTTAGAAGAACTAGGTAAGTAGACGTATTAGAGGCTAAATATGACCTAATCATTAGAAGTGGTGAATAGTATATTGATGGATCTAGTTATACCATGCACTTACTTTAATGTTTGCACCAAACCAAATCTCGCCAAAAGTAAATCACAGTACATCTCTAGGATTTCCATAGCTTCCACCAGATAATCTTCTCGAACTATACACTCAACTCTGATTCTAGCACGATCTTCTTTCGCAGCACTAATATAATCGGCAATTTCCTTTCTGGCCTTCATCGCTAACTCGGCCTTCTTCTTTTCTAACAATTTCAGACGATTTATGCATAGACGAAGATTCGTCTTGAGCTTATTGTAATTCGGCCCGCTTTTAAACATCTTGGAGACTAAATGTTACTAACCGAATTCGATGACAGTTTCTATATGCGCTGGATATTCTATTTTGAAATCGTCTCAATAATCACAAGAAGATGACTCTTCCTTGTTTTCCTGGTGACGTCAAGCCGCGCAGTAAGCTTTTGCGCACATTATTATAGATCTGCAGTTAAATTATATGTCATAAATTTCATAATTTATTAAGAATATTGTGGTGTATTTGAAAATAAAGATTACACCGATTTATTTGTTTTTCTATTTTTGATGAAGTGGCAATGGGTTTATCCCGATTTTGAACATTTATTCTAAAAGTAAACCCTGCACTGTAAGTAGAAAAATTAACGAACAGTGTGCACTTCTGCTGGAAATAGCATTTAACTTATTTTATGATATCAAATAAAGATACCAAGAAAATAGCAAAAAAATTGAATTTTAATTACTTTTGAAGTAGCGGATTTGAGGTTGATACATACTTTATGAATCAAATGGAATTTTTAAACCGGCCCAGCCTGTCACTATACAACATTTCATTCCATGTTTTCTACATGCTTTACTACACGTGAAAGAAATCAACATGCTGGAGCAGGGCAGTGGAAGTAAAGAAATACGGACAGATGATTAATGTAAACATATAGAGCTAAAATGGATGTCGAAGACCTTGGTGCTAATGTGTCTGAATCTTTAGAGACACTTTGTAAAGAGAATGGAAAGTGTGGAGCAGAACTTCAAGGCTTTCTTCCAAAACAGGTACATTGAGATGATGGGAGGGGGGGGGGGGGTAGTACCGTGAGTGTGTTCTGTTGAGTTGACAGCCAGTGACGCTTAAAATTTTTTGTTGGTTTAAGCCGTCAGTTTTGTTCTGCTCAGATTAAATCCACATATACCCTTTGTGACAGAAATATTAGTCCCCTAGGAACCATAGTCACTTTCCCATTACTTTGTACAGATAATATTTATCCCATATACTAACCCTGATTCTCCAACTAACCATAACCTGTACTTATCATATGGGACTCCGGACTTCCATTCCTAGGACTAGCACTCACACACCCATTTGATTTTTAATTGCAGATGTGGACTCCAGCTGACAGGCAGAATTTTTTGACATGTATCAGCAAACTATTTGTTTTACCTGACTGTACAGCTGACATTGCACGTGCCTTCAGAGGACTGATGTTAGAAGTCCTTGAGAGAGCTAAAACTGATGTTACACAAGGTGGACATCTATCATTTGTCAAGCACCAAAAGCTGTGTATAGCATTGAGTAAAGTAATAAACATCTGCCCAGATGCTTTAAGGTATTTTTAGTAATTATATTTTTCAAGTTATTCTATGAAACTTAATATTTGATTTTTAAACACTTTGAAAATTTTCTTGTATGCTTCTTTGAAAAAAAGAAAAAACAAAAAAAGAAAGAAAGTCAAATATGAATTTTCCCAAAGAGAGCTAAATACATTTATTTCCCCTTAGTATGAAGTTATGTCAGACTTTCAAAAATTGACATGAAATTGAAATTCAAAACAAGTAGTATCTGTGCTTTCCATTTGAATTTTTTCTTGTCATCTTGTACAGGTTTTCTGTGGAGTATATGAGTTCCAGGCCGACATTTTTCATTGTGCCTGAAGAGGAACAACCAGTAAAGAAGAAACCCAGGAAGGTATTCAGAGTATGATAAAATGTTTGCTAATATTGTTTTTTAGATTGTTTAGCCATCCACAGTCTAGATAATCACAAACAGAATCTGTGGTTGGAAATAAATTAAATATAATTGAGAGATGACGTTGATATTGTTAATTGTAATAGTGAATTAAACTAATATTTATTCAAATTCCACAGAAACAAAAGCCTGCTTCCTTGTTGACTGTATGCCAAGCTGTCCACTGTTTGTTGAAGAGTGCATGCAGAGAGTTCAGACAAGTGTATGACTGGAGCCCATTCTTGAGGTTTCTGAAAACTGAAGATTTGGAAACTAGATGGTAAGGTCACCATGCTGGTGTATTGTGTATAAAAACAAATGGGTATAATTATTTGGGTCATTTGCTATTGTTTAACTGTGTATTAGAGTTACTGTTTAAAATGATTCTTTATTGCATGTGATTATCTGTGTACTGCTCTGTATTTGATCCCATTCATGCTCATTCTGCACATCAGTCCATTCCAGTTTTTGTTTTCATGTCATTATACTAAACATATTTTTTAAAACTAGTTAGTGTCTGTTATGTTTTGAATTTCATATATATGAATATCATATCCTTGTGCACTGTTTTCAGGTTTGCTGTCAAAGCCATTGCCTTATTAACTGGAATGTCAGATGTACAGAAAAAAATCTTCATGAGAAAATATATAGATGAAGAAACTGAAAGAAAACTAGTTATCAAGTAAGTTTTCAGAATTTAATTTATGATAGTTAAATTTACAATTTTGACATAAATGTGGATTTCATCCATGTTTGTGTTTTAAATTCAATTGATATACAGAAAGAACTTCATCTTTTTAATATTTGGAAATTGTGAATTTTACAGATACTTTATTTTTAAGGTAATAATATCTTAAATTTTGAACATTCCTATTGAGTGGTAGCAATAAAATTGAAAAGCACCACAATTACTTTATAGAAATATGATTATGTGATTATATAATTATGTATTTGAAAGTTTGATAGTTTTTGCCTATTGAAAATTTCAAATTTATCACCAATTTGCACCTTTTTTTAGACACGGAATGGAAGTAGAATCTTTGCAGCAAGACGAGAGAGCATTATTGCTTGTCAATCCAAAGCAGCCCAGATCAGAAGAAATAGAGAAGCTGAGCTATACCAAGAGAAGTTTGGTGGATTCTGATCTTAGTCCAGCTGTGGTATCAGTGTGTGGAGTACTTTTGCCAAAGTTACTTTATGGCATTTCCAAAGTAATAACCCTCTTAAAGATTTCTTTCTCTGATTTTTCATTTAAATAGAAATATAACTCAGCACTTTTTATGAATTCTTGTTAAACCTGTTAAAATTAAAAATTTTAAAAAAATTATTAACTGTGAAAATGATCAGGAACCATTTAACAACTTTTTGCACTGTTCAAATTCATAAATGCAAAATATATTGATACTCCTGAAGAATGAAAATGTTACAATTGGGATATTCAGCCTGTGGAAGAATCTCTGGTGCCAGTACCATCCACTCGCAGAAACCTCCGTAGCCTCTCTCTTGCTGTGGCCTCTGGCCAGCCTGTTTTGTTGCAAGGACCTGTAGGGTGTGGGAAAACTGCATTGGTTGAACACCTAGCTAGACTGACAGGGCGGAATGGAACGCCAGACCTCATCAAAATTCAGTTGGGAGATCAGACTGACAGTAAGGTAAAAATTTCAGGAAATTTCATTAAAATGTGTTATTTATGACATACTTGCATTGAAACCGAAAACTTTATAAAATCTGTTGCCTCAGCACTTGTAACTTTGTTTTTTGGGAATTTTTTAATTTCTTGCATCACAGGTTTGAGATTATCATACATCATTCTAGCAAAAAGTGATATTTTTGTTAAAATGACTTTTTAATGCTGTGATGATGATTTACAACTATTTACCTTGCCATTGTCATATATGTTATGTGTACAATACTGATGTGAATTGTTAATATAATATTTATGTGTGATGTTTCCAGGCTTTGCTTGGAACATATTGTTGCACAGACATTCCTGGAGAGTTTGTGTGGCAGCCAGGTCCCCTCACTCAAGCCATGACACAAGGAAACTGGATTTTACTAGAGGACATAGGTAACAGCCCCCAGGCTTGTTTCAAAAAGTCAAGGTTTTGGGTTTATCTGAGGCTACACTAAGATAGTCAACTACTGCCCTTCAGTAAATGAAGCCGACATGTCAAAATGGGCAATTGTTAGTACTGTTGTCCTCAAGAGTGACCATCTTATTTTGAAAGGAAGTCTCTCTTGGGGCTTGTATATGATTTGTTTAATCCACTATAGAGATCAGTGAGGGCTATTAAAAATTAATAAAAAGATTTATGAGATGGATAACTTGAAAAAGGGTTGAAATATTTTAATCAGCATGACATTCATTTGTATTTGTCTGTCTAGTCATTTATTTATAACATTACTCTTTTCCATTTGGATTCTAGAATCTGGTATTGGAGGGGAGGATTAATCACATCCATGCATAGTTGAAGTAAATTTGATGTGCTTTTTCAGATTATGCTCCTATGGATGTGGTCTCAGTTTTGGTGCCTATCCTGGAGTCGGGTACCCTGGCGCTGCCCAGTCATGGTGGAGTCCTCAAGGCTGCTCCTGGGTTTCAACTTTTTGCAACTCAAAGGTTTGTGTACTTCCACTTGTCCTGTACCTTATACATGGGGAGCATTAGAGAGTAGTGTATTTCTTGCCATAATTTGATAATTGATCACTGTAGAAAATTTTTAATATTTTGGTAAAATTAAAGCTCTCTGATTCAATTCTTGTCTTTATTTTATTTAATATGTATATGTTTATGAGGGTAAAACCATTATGGCATTTTAATGGCACAGTGCTTTTTATTGCAACGTTGCAGGCTACTTAGTAGTGCTACAGGACTGTTTAGACAACAAAGGTCAAACTCTTCCATGTTGGAGAGAATGTGGGCAAAGCTAAATGTAGAACCCCTGTCAAGAACTGAACTACAGCAGGTGTGTTATCCAATATTTTTCAGAAAACAAGTCTAAAATGAACAGTGTATGGAAATCTAAAGAAGTAATTAAAACCCCGAAATAGTATTTCTTATCTGCACAGCTTTTAGGAGCAAGAATGCTATTATTATTATTATAAAGATCATCTCTGATGAAAATGAATAAATAGAGTTTCCTGTGCTCAGGCCTTGTTTTGGAATCGTCTTAGGTGATAATTACCACTCACCCACAGCTGTCCACTGTAGTGGACCGTCTGCTGGACATCTACTTCATGTTGTCTGCTGGAAAGCATGAGCTATCGTCTGATTCCACTGCAGAAGAATATGGTTTGGACTCCATAGGAAAGTTCCTGTCACATGATGGCAGGCTGATTTCAACAAGGTGAATGTGAATTTGAAAAGAAACATTTCTATTAGGAAAGCGGTGAAAATTTGTTGTTCCATGAAAACTGCATAAATAAGTGCAGGAAAGTTTTTGGTTGGTATCATAAAAAGATTTTAACCTAATATAAGTGGTAGTTGGCATTATTGCACTACTTGTGAATGAGTTGCAATTAAAGAAAATTACATATAGTTTATTGTTATTCCCTTTTCATTTAATTATAGAGATCTTATTAAGTGGTGCCATAGAATTTCAAAGGACTTTGATGTAACTCAGAGTGTGACAGCTAATGTGGTCCTGCAGGAAGCATTGGACTGTTTCTGTGCTTGCCTATCCAAACCTGACAAGAGACTACCGCTGGCAGAGGCCATAGGTGCCAGACTCAATGTTACCAAAGCTAAGGTGAGGGAGGGTACAATTTTAGGTACAAATTTGGTGTCAAAGTAGATGTTGCTATTGGCTCTTCATTGAATAAGATAATATATGCATACAGTATCTAAAATTTTTATGGACAAAAGATTATGATTTTCTAAGAGATTTTTTCTAAAATGCTGTAATGAGTGCCACTAAAACCATTGAGTCAAAACTATGATTATTGTTTTCCGGAAACCATACGAGAATGAAATTTCAGTGGATTGCAATAGTTTAATTTTTTTCAGTGGTAACAAAATAGTTTGATGTGTATCATCAACATTCTTATACAAGCTTACTAGGATCTTAATAGAAGGGGCAAAAAGGGATGAACAACTATAATATACCTTGACACTTACTGATCTAAGGTGATATGCATGATAAGTTTGACCATGGAATTTATTTGGAAGTTTTATATTTTGTATTTCAGGCCGAATATTACTGCTGCAAATACAAACCAGATGTTGAGGTCTCTCAGTGCTCCCTCAAGTCTGGAAGGGCTAACATACCAATAAAGGTGGCTGAAACTTTGGCTCTGAACAGGTAAAAGCATTCCGAGTTGCAGAACATTATGTAAAGTCTGCAGATTTCTGTAATCTACTCTTTGTCTTTTCACTTATTAATCTAAAGCACGGGATCTTTTAGTACGTTGAGCCATTATTCTAACACGTAGCATTTATATATACTGTGAAGATGACAGAGAATGGTTTTAACGGGATTTGGTTATTTACTTACAGGCCATCAGCTGTGAATTTTGCATTCACCAGAGATGCTGCTATTCTGTTGGAGAGGGTAGCAGTGTGTGTGGCCAACATGGAGCCTGTACTGCTGGTAGGGGAAACGGGAGTTGGCAAGACATCAGCTGTGCAATATCTTGCCCAGCAAACAGGTAGGTAGAGCCACTGGTATGTAATTGTGATATTGTTAATAATAAAGGTGAAAACTGTTGTAACTTCAAGGTGCATTTAACAAGAAATTAAAGTTTTTAAAAACTTAATTTTGCATTTTACAATAGATGGCAACTACTGACAACCCAATCTTTCCTTTTCAGGTCATCATTTAAATGTGATCAACATGAATCAACAAAGTGACAGTGCTGATCTGCTGGGAGGGTAAGTTGAACTGAAATATGTTGTGTTCATCCTATTGATGGAAGTGCCAGCTGTAGGATAAGTCAGTTACAAATACCCATCCACTGTATGGGACATACAAGAGCAAATTATATATTGGCTGCACCTCAGTATAATTACCCTCTTGTATGTCACATACAGCAGGCGACTCATGTTGTAACTATAGTACATAATGTTATACATATCAGAATTTAAAGCCCAAGGTGATTGTCTGAGATTAGGAAAAGGTTTAGTTCAATTTGGACTTTTTAGTGATTTATCTTTCCCTAGAAAGATTGTTTATACATTTACTTACAGATTTAAGCCTGTAGATTTACGCCTTGTGGTTGCCCCATTCAGAGAAGATTTTGAAGCAGTGTTTTGTCAAAGTTTCTCAAGGAAACAGAATATCAAGTTTTTAGGTCACATACAGGTGATGAAATTGTATATATAATAATAATGTTATATTTTCAGACATTTTTCTGATAATTTAGAGGGAGCATATTATTTTTATAATTATTACGTATAAGTTTTAGCCAACTTTTCAAATGATAACTTTTATTGGTAACTGTGTAATTGGTTTTGTTTTTTCTTTTTACAGGAATGTTTTGCAAAAAAGAGGTGGTCTGATCTTTTAAAATTGATCAGTCACACTCAGCAACAAGGAGTTAAGAAATATGAAGAAGGTCAGTTAAACATGTAATACTTTGTTTGCTTTTTAATCACTACAATTTATATCTGTCAAGTCATTGAGTAATAAAATATTTTCACCTTATTTGAACTTTACCTATCTCTCTCTTTATAGCTGAGTGATGGCTATATTATGTGAATGTCTTTTGCAGGTGCTGAGATGCATGCTAAATGGGTGGATATTGGTAAAAGATTGCAGCAGCTGAAGATTCAAATTAGCCAGACAGAAAATTCTCTAGCATTCACATTTCTTGAGGTAACCCTAGTCTTTCATGTTAGAACAGGTGTCATTTAAATACTTATTTGTGAGCTAAATAATGGGGTTGATATATATGCAGGTAAAGATACTTTGTCTCTTTTAAATATTCTCTTATAATCAGTACAATATTTATTAGAAAGGAATATATTTAAGGACTGTTTGTAGGTGCTTTTATATTTGCTTTGTTCAGGGAACACTAGTGAAAGCATTGAAGGCAGGAGACTGGGTGTTGCTGGACGAGATAAACCTGGCTACCACGGAGACACTGGAGTGTTTGAGTGGGTTACTGGAGAGCACTGCTGGCTCTGTGGTCCTTATGGAAAGAGGGTAGGTCAGGGATGGTATTTTTTCTTCCTTTCACTGATATGCACTTTTTTGTGGGTAAGAAGGATGCTGGATCTTGTATTATATTATCAAAAGAAAAAAAAAAAGAATTTCAGGAAAGGGGAGATTTTTCTATCAGATAGGCTGATGTTCATACAGTGTTGCCTGTCAGTTTTGCGTTAAAGAACTGATTTATGTATTTGTATACTTATTTCCAGGGACACGAAACCAATAGTACGCCACCCTGAGTTCCGCCTGTTTGCTTGCATGAATCCTGCAACTGATGTAGGCAAGAAAGATTTACCCCTAGGAATTAGAAATAGGTGAGCACTTTCTTTCCAGAAACTTTGCTTAAAGAAAACTTTTAGTGTATTAAATTAAGCTATATTTCTGTTTTTGTTGATAAGTAGTTGCCTTTGGATACCAAGAAGTTTTTTTGCTTTACTTATCATTGAACTTATGGGTAACTCTTCTTTGTCTTGTTCCAGATTTACTGAGATATTTGTGGATGAGCTAGAAAGTGTCCCAGACCTGAAAATCCTAGTCAATGAGTATCTGAAAGGATTATCCCTCACTGCTGCCCAGGTGGAGGGTATAGTGAAGTTCTATTTGACCATTAGGAATGAGGCAGCCAAGAAACTGACAGATGGTACTGGACATCGTCCACACTACAGTCTGCGGACACTATGTAGGGCATTGAAGCACTCGGCATCAAACCCGTGTGGAACTGTTCCCAGATCTTTGTATGAGGTACACAAAAAATTGGTAGAATAGATTTTTAAAAGGATGTCTCTGTTACCTTTTGAGAACAATCTTTCATGCCATGTTTGTCATTTGGTTACTTACAATTAAAATGAAGAATATGGAAATCAGTACACATCACTTCAGTAATATGACATCATAGTATCAGTATAGAACATAAAAGTGGTATTAAATACTAAGCACTGTTGTTAAGTAAAAATTGAAAAAAAGAAATGAAAAAAAAAAAAACTTGTGCATTTGTTTTATAGGGATTTTGCTTGAGTTTCCTGACACAAGTTGACAGATCCTCACACCCTGTAGTAGAACAGCTCATCTGCCAGCATATCTTAGGGAAGTCTAACATGAAGAGCATTTTGAAGAAGCCACTCCCTGAACCCCAGGGTGGTGGTAGCTTGCTCTTTGAAGGGTTCTGGGTCCCCACAGGGGGAAAGGAGCCACACACACCTGAGAACTACATCCTTACCCCAGGAGTGAGGGCAAATTTGAAAGATTTGGCTAGAGTTGTGTCTGGAGGGTGAGTTTTTGACTAAATCCTAGATAAGCGTAGGATATTTGTACAGCAGTAACCATTTTGTTCATTAGGCCACACTTTTTTATTTTTATGGATGACATCCTCTGGGTACCCCAAAATCGGTGCGAGAGGGC